CACACACACACACACACACACAAGCGATGCTCTTCTTTGCCTCCCTGCTCCCTCCCTTTTCAGCCTCTGAGGGCCGGGCAAAGGGTGCGGCAGGTGCATCTGGGCTCCAGGCCTTCCCCCAGCCCAGAGAACCCCTAAATAGGGAAGGGGAAGCCTCCCAAATGGAAAAACCTCTAGGCCCTTCTGCAGAGCTCCCCAAAGAAGGGAGACCAGATTTAATTCCAGCATCCTGTCCAATACAATGCCTCATTTCGCCCCCTCCCGCTCCTCTTGCTCCTCCACTGTTTTCTGCCTCAGTGCAGCCTTCCCTTCCCCTCCTCTTCCCTGAGTGATTCTGAACACAGATTCAGTCTTCTGAAATGCCAACTCACATCCTCCTAACCCTCTCACACCCTCGCCCTCCAGCTCCACCGAGCCGCTTTGCAGGCCCTGGGCCCCCACCCTGGGGAGATGCTGGGGACTCTTAGCCATCCCAGAGCAGGCTGCTGCTCATCTATCTGCAGGGCAGCAGTCTCCATGGACCCCAGCCGAAGACATCTTCACTGCCTACTTCCCTCACAGCCTGACTCTGAACTCCAGCCGGGCTCCCTGTCCCCCTTTCTCTGTAACCCCAGCCTAGTCCTGCCTCCATACTCCTTCAGAGTGCATCTGACCCAGGCAGATGAGGGATCAATGCCAATCCAATAACACAGTTGTCTGCCCTCCACAGCTACATTAAGCCTCCCCAGCAGGCCGAGGAAGCACTCCTACTCTTGCCCATGGGCTTATCTAGTTGACCACATTACACCAGCGCCCACTTCCTCTCACTCCCTCTGATGGCGCCGGGGAGTCGCTCCAGGCCAGGCCTGGAAGCCCGGCTGAAAGTCCCCAACACATCCACCCCACACCTCAGAAAGTCCATCTTGAGAGCCGGGATGCAAAAGGGCTGCCCCAATCCCTTGGCAGAGGGAGCCCAGAGAAGGCTGGGGAGGTGCCCAAGGACACACAGCAGGCCCATCTGGCTCTTCAACTACCACTTCTCCCGGCATCTCAGTCTTGGTCTAGGTCCAAGATCCAGGTTAGAGACATGTCAGAGGTCCAGGTTCAAAGTCCAGGTCCAATGTCCAGTCTAACATCCAGGTCCAGATCCGAGATCCAAGCCCAACATCCATGTCCAACTTTAAGTCTAGGACCAGGTCCAAGGTCTAGGTCCAAGGTCAATGTCCGAGGTTATAGGTCCAGTCCAAGATTCAGACAAATTCATGTCCAAGTTCAAATTTCAATGTCTAAGATCAGGTCCAGGTCAATGTTCAGGTTCAGGGTCCACGATTAAGATCCAGGTCAAATTTCTAGTCCAAGGTCATGTCCAGGTCCATTCTCAAGGCTTCCCAGGTTCAAGTCTTAGACCCACCATTAGCTTTCTCTGTGGCCCTGGACTAGTCTTCCCTTACCCCAGCCTCAGCTTCCCTTTCACGAACTCAAGCAGTTGAACTTGATCTCTTTCAGCTCTGACCTTCTAGGGATCCATAAATCTGACTTTCCTAAGAATTTGTCAGTGGGAGTGTGGAAAAACATGGCCTGTGTGGGATATAGAATCTGGGGCCCACGGCCTCCCTGAAAGCCTGGGGTCACAAGGGGGACATGAAGGGCTGGAGCTAAGCATCCACTCTTTAAGCAGTCTGTTTGTGGTTCCTGAGGGAGAAGAGTACATCAAGTCCCTATGTCAGCACAGCAATTTACACATCCCAAAGACTCCCTGCACCCCCCAACCCCCCACACACAGTCACACACTGTAGGCAAAGGGCAGTGAGCACAGGGGAGGATTAGCTCCAACCTACAAAGGCAAATGAGGCCAGGGAGACCCATCACTCGCATGAGGTCACAAGGGCATAAATGGTGGACCCTGTCACAACTCCCTGGTGAGTGCTTCATCTACATGTTCTAGGGACCCCCCCACCCTAGAGGCCTCTGGGGGGCACATGAGA